CCCAATAAAAATCTTTAAAAAAACAAAACAAAATTGATTCCTTGACTTTAAAACTTTCCACAAAACTCCAGACCCAGATAAATTCATTGGTGAATTCTATCACACATTTAAGGAAGAATACCAATTCTATATGAACTCTTTCAGAAAAGAGAGAAAGAAGGAACACTTCCCAACTCATTACCATTATACAAAAACCAGATAAAGATTTTACAAGAATACAAAACCAAACCCTCATGAACACAGACATAAAAATACTTTAAAGAGTATTAGCAAATTAAATTCAGTAATATATGAAAAAAGAATAATACTCATACATGATAACCAAGTGGGATGTATCCAAGGAGAGTAAAGTTGACATAATATTCAAAAATCAATTGATGTAATTCACATAATAAAACAGCAAAGCTGTGTGATCATTTTCGTATATGCAAACAAAAGCATTTAACAAAAAAATCAGCATCCATTAATGATTTTAAAAATTCTCAAAAAGACTTTAGGTGAACAAACATGTTGTTTACTTAATACAGAAAAGTCATCACAGTTGTCATTATTGCCTATTTTGTTAAAGTGTTGAGCATTTTGTAATTTTCAGAGTTCATGATGTTTATTTATATGTAACTACTAGTGTTTATGCCTGAATTTCCCCCGCTGAAATTGATTTTAATTATCATGTATTACTTATTCCCAGTAGTATTAAACTAGACCTCCTCCAGCAAAAGCAGATTTCATGCAGTATAAGCTCAGAGAAATGAAATAAATGTCCATTCTAAATGAGACCTGCATGAAATATTGAGCAAGAAGCCCATAATGAACTACGGTATCAGTTATATAAATACAATATGTCTTCTTAATCTACCAGATTACAATCATTCATTAAATGAGTAAATATTTTTTTAAAACTGTTATGTACTAGGTGCTAAGAGTTCAATCATCCTAATCATGCTTTAAGGAGCCTAGTCTCGTGGTCTAGGAGTAGACAGACAGTTACAACGCTGAGTACTAAGTGTTAATCCTGTAATAGAAATGTATACAAAGAGCAGTTGAAACAAGGATAAGATACTAACTGATTCTGCTTGGGGGGACTGGGAGATTTCTTAATTTTCACAAGCAATTCAAGCAAACCAATTCTCCAAGCAAAGCTTCCCTAATCTCTTAAAGAACAAAAATTAAGCCTTTAATGGCTTCTCAACATACAATACCATTTCCCTAAGGCTACAACCACATAAAACACCTTATGAATTTCACATACAAAAAATAGACTTTCAATTTGGGAAAATAAAGTAAAAGTATTTGAGGGGAGCAGATGAGGTTTTGATAATTGATAAAATCTATAGTCTACCCCTATGTAACTCAAAATTGTCTCTACAGGTCACAGGTTATTAGGGCTGGAGTACCTTTTTTGAATGTATTGAATGTATACGTTTTTATGGGTAAATTAACTGCAATTGTGGAAAAACTATACAATGGTACAATAGAAGAAGCAACAGTACAGGACAGAGAGGTTCAGACAGTCCTGGATTCAAACTCTCTGACCCTAAATAAGATGGTTTATCCTACCTTGAGTTTCCTCTTCTGTAAAATGGGAGTAGTAACAATTACTTTTTAGAGTTATTATAAAAGTTAAATAAAATGATGCATGAAAACTTCTTGAAACAATGCCTGGCACATAGCAAGTACTCCTGGGTTCATGGGTGCTATAATCATTATCACCATTATCACTGCCATCATGGTGGTGATGATGATGATGATGACGGTGGTGGTGGTAGTGGTTGGTGGTGATGGCGATGATTATGATGATGATGGTATTCTTTGTTTTGTTATTGTTATTACAGTGTGCTAAGGAGAGAAATAATTAATTTTCTTCTTCTAGACACCTCCCAAAGATGGGTTTGTGATCGCTGATGTTCAACCAGTTACAGGCAGTTCTCCAGAGGGAAAACAGTCTTCTTCATCAGCTTTCCGATCTTCTTCCTCTTTAAAAAAGAAGAATCAGCCAGGGGAGAAAGAACTCCCACCCTGGCGATCCTCTGACAAGCATCCAACTGATATCATCCGCTTCAATTACCTGGACAACTGTGACCCCATTGGGCCAATCTGGCATGGGTGAGAACCTCCATGTCCTTTCCACTTCTTTGCTGTCAGAAATAGTGTGCTGGTACCTCAACAGATGAAAATAGAACTTACTGTGAAAAACAAAAGCTTTTTAAAACAAAATGTAATTGAAAAAAAACCAAAGGAACCATTACTGGTAAACTGGCCCTGTTTGTTAGGATTTGTTTGCATTTTGTAGCTGTCATGATTTCACATTACAATTTCTTTTACCGTTTTAAAACCTCAAATTCCAGTCCAGCACCATAGGGTTCATTCTAGTCTTTCCTTTTTCTGTGTTTGCACCTCCCTTCTCTGACAGTGAGAAACCTGGCTCTCGTATTTATTTATTTATTGCTTACTATATAAGCTATATAGCATTTATATTATGTATTGTACAGTTGACCCTAGAAAACATAGGTATTAGGGGTGTCAACCCACACAGAGTTGAAAATCCACATATAACTCTTGACTCCCCCAAAACCTAACCTAGTCAGCCCTTCACATTCACAGATTTAACCAACCACAGAGGGAAAACAGTGTGGGAATCTGTGGTTAGGAATCTGTGGTTGGGAATGTGAAAATAACTGTTTTTGATCCACAGTTGGTTGAATCCATAGATGCTAAACCTGTGGTTATGAAGGGACAACTGTATTAATTGAAAAAAATCTGTGTATAAGTGGATTTGCGCAGTTCAAACCCATGTTGCTCGAGGGCCGACTTATAGCCATATATAATTTTGTATAAAAAAATTTGTGTTTATATAATTATATAAATACACACACATACAGAGTATCTGTTTACTTACAAATTCTGAAAGTAATATATGATTATCAACACAAATCAAACTGGAATTCAGTTTTTTTTTTTTNAAAAAAAAAAAAAAAAAAAAAAAGAAGTAAGCAAGGGCATAATGGGCATATTAAAGTTCTTTTTAAGCTAGAAACTAATAATGTAAAGGCATTTACATATCGTACAAAGTAAATAACACAAGAGTATTTTTTCTAGTGGCTTTCTATGCTTTACTCATATAGCCAATGTTTATGTTTATTCTTGTAGTCACAGTTAATTAGATAACTTACAGGAAATTTTTATGAGCCTTTTCTTTATGGCATGATCTATACATATGCAGAGCTGTGCATGGCTTTGTGCAATAAATGAGTTCCTGAAAAATTATGTGTAAATTAAATTGTTAAATGATTTTTAAAACCACAGGGTACCATACCTTATGCAAAAGCAACAGTGAATCCTTTTAAAATTGAAGAATCCTTTTGAAATACGAATAGTCAACTCCTAACTTGCTCACTTGGGTTTAGTTTTATTTGTGTTTCCTGAAAGTAAAATCCATCTACATTTAATATAGTCATAAACTGTGCATAGTTAATATTGTTACAATTGCAATGATAAAACTAGCCTTTCTGATTTCAGTAATTGGTGTGTTCCATGATGATTTCTTTAAGGAAGAAAATTTTAAACGGCAGTGATGGAAAAGTTATTTTAAAAATGACCATAGCTCTGACTTCTTTTTTCATAAGGCTTTTCTTGACTCTGTTTCTCAGTTATGGGCAGAGAGTGGCATTTAATAGCTGAAGCTTAGGTTGTTCTGGGGCAGAGGAGAGAAAGGGATTAATCAACTTGTAGAATAAAAAGAGGTTTTGAGTATTAAATGTAAAACTGACTTCAATCCTTTGCCTTTAGCACTTTTTCCACAAAATATTTATGCATAACTATATTTAAAAATAGTGAATAGTTCTGATACTACTCCTTGCTTAGTATTAAATTTCTGTAGGGAGTACTTTGTTATATTAAACTTGAGTTTTTCTGTTAAAGAAATAGGCCTAAATTAGAAAGCCAAAGGTTAATAAAATCAAATAATAACCTTAAATTTATTGGTTAAAGAAAAGAAATAGACCTAAGTCTATTTTTTTGTCAGAAAGACTAAGGTTATAAAGCCGTCTGACTAAGGTTTTAAAGTCAACTGTCAGCACTACACATTCTTGAATAATTTGTGTAATTCCCTGAGAGGTCGTTCCAATGATGGAGAACATAGGCAGCCACTGGAGGAGAGCGTAATTTACCTTCCCTCAAGCACCATCACCATCTCCCTCCCCTCCAAACGCTGTTCCCCTCCCCCAATTCCCCAACTAAAAAAAATAAAATAAAAGACAGAAAGGAAAAGAACTCTACCAGGTTGTTGATAATGTTCATCTCTGTTTGATGGGGTTATGGGTATTGTTTTTCTTTGAACTTCTCGGAATTTTCCAAATTTTCCTCAATGAGAATGTTGTCATTCAAGGGAAATGTTATTTGAAATAGCTAATCCTATCATCTATGTGTACCATATGTCAGTCTTGCAAGATTTCAGCATTATATTTATTCCCAGTACTGACTGTGAGGAAGACACAGGTAGTTGTTCTTCAGCTAGATGCAAAGTGAACAATAAATTTATTACAGTAAGATGAGCTTTGAGCTGCTTAAAAGATATAAGGGGTATCTTATAGTTTTATCTACTTACAATTCTCATTCTTGTCGACCTTTAAAAAACAAAAATAAAAAGCAAAACAAACAAAAACCTTATCTATGGTGGGTGGGGAGAACCTACTTAAATACTCAGGTCTAAACAAGATCTAAGGAACAGAATAATATTGATACATTTTTTTCCCCATCCCCTCCCTCCAAAACCTCACCTCTCCACTGAATTCTGAGTTAATTAGCTATCAGGGGATAAAGATCTGTGTTGTTTCATTCTGGGTTGAATAAAGTAGGTGTGATTTCAGTTCCTGCCTGGGGGCTCTATCAGATCCTCTAACCTTTTTCTTCCTTCCAGCTCCTTAACCTCTTATTTCTTCTAATTGTGCCCTCCTTTTTTCCTGCATGTCTCATCTTCAGCACATAAAACAATGCCAAGCATATTAGGAACTCAATACATGGTGGAGAGCTGATAGACAAGTGGGTGTATGGATAGCAAGGCTCATTATAGAGTGTTCTGTTTGTTTGTTATTTTTGGTGTTTAAAATTATTAGTTAATTAATCTTGAAAAAGAGTTTTCCAGTTTTCCAAGGACGAAATTTGGGTTTGAAGGTGAGATGTCGTCTTTGCAACCCTTAACAGCTAAGACATAGAACCCCTAGTGTCAACTTGATGTATCAACTTGATGCTAGTTTCCAGTAAGACTTATTCAAAATGGGAAATAAATTAGTGTAAATACTGCTACATATAGGGTCGCCTCCACTGTTTGCTGAGTGTATGAGATTGACCATAATGCTATGGAAATGGAATGTACAGAACAAATACTTTGTGTGCTACAGAATCCTAAAGGTGATATAGGACATACCAGCTAGTATCAGTGTTTATGAGTTCTGTTTATAACGCTTGTTTTTAGTTAAATCATAAGAATGGAGGGAAAACAGACACATACCATGAAAAGAGTAAACAATATGCAGACCTGAGTTTCTATCACCTTTGTGTAACTGTCATATGAAATTCAGAAACCTTTAGGAAATTCCAAAGTCTGTGTCTGAGCCTTCGTTTCCTCATTTGCAATATGAGAGAAATCATTTTACTTTTCTCCTTAGATTGGTTGCTATGAGAATAATTAATAGATGCTCGATAAATATTAGTTGACTCTGATTCTAAGTCTGGATTCACATTTAAAGAAAATCCTTCAGCCTGGATAAGAAGCATTTCAGGTAGGCAGTAAATAAGCTGTGATTTGGAAAGAAAGAACAAAAAAGTTATTTCAGGTCCAGGATGACATGACCACTCAAAACCTAGAGAAAGTGGACATGTAAACTGAGTAGACTTTTTTTTTGTTGGTCATGTTTTTCCAGGTGAGCTGGCATTGGAAGAACTTAACGGAGCTGGATCAGCTCTGGATGCTCAAATGTTTACGGTTTAACTGGTGCATCAGTTTTTCTCCAACGCCCTTTGAGCAGGGTATATGGAAGAAGCACTACATTCAAATGGTGAAAGAACTTCATGTTACCAAGCCTAAGGTAAATTTGGGGCACAAAGCAACAAATGTACAAACATCAGCTCTTTAGGAATTCTAGAACTAAGACTAAATGATCACACTGGAATTTGGGACAGGGAGTTGGTTCAAAGAAGTCTAGTATGACTTCCAAATTCTCCTTTTTTGAGAACTTGACAGCCCATTCAAGATATCCATGTTATCTGAGAGCCCTCATCCGACACTCCCAAATCATAGTTCCACCCAGGAGGTTAGGACTGGCATTTCTCACTCAGCCCAGGTCCTGGATTTTTGTGTGTCTGACTCCCACGCCAGACAATTCTGACACTGGGACTCTGTGGTAATGCTTATAGTATTTGTTATGTATGGACCATCACATTTTACTTTACTAATTCAAATTGCTATGATTCGTCCAGGTGACCTGAAATTTATTTTTTGTTATTTGTAAGGAAAAGTTTTCTAGTATATCAAGAAGTAAGCAGGGCCAGCCAAGTGGCTCAGTTGGTTAAGAGCTCGCCCAAGAGTTTGAGCTCTGAGCAACAGCGGTTCGAGTCCAGCCCAAGCTGAGCAGCCGCTGAGCTGCCAACAGGTAGCAGGATGGCTCAG